AAAAACGTCCCCCCCCCCCCCCCCATGCTGCTTTAAGGACTTACCTCAATTGATGTCTCTTGAGCCAATCTTCTTCGTTCCAGTAGTATTCAGCAATCCCTTCAGTACTGGTACTGGTCTTTGATCCAGCGCTGACTGCTGTGTCTTCCTGTCTCACGGAGTCTGTGCGTGTGCACGCTGCCAGGCTGCTTGCATTGACTTACCCTGTGTCTCTCCTCTTCTCCCGGCTGAAGATCTCTACTACGCATGCGCCCGCCCCATGATCCTTCACAGTTGCTCGAGAATTTTTCAGATCTTTTGATCTGTTTTTGCACATATCTACTGCTTTCTAGCAGTAGATCTATGCAAAAAAAAAAGTAAGGTTTAATTATCCTTTAATGCATCCCAAATCTCACAAAAAGATTATCTTATACTGGACTAGAGTGTGTTCTTGTCAGATTTAGGGTACTCATTGTTTCCCAGAAATGCTGCCAAAAGGATAGAAATGTCACTCTAAAATGTGTGAAAGAACAGGGCTAGGTAAGTATTTATCCTTTTGTGCACGTTTGCCCTTTTTAATGTATGGGGAACTTACACGGGGAGGACCTTGTATTTTACTGCATTTCTGCGTTAAATAGAAAAATACAGTTTTCTATGCTCTGTTAGTAACTGTTGTTATAAGGTGATATTCTTCAAAGGTGTTTGCATGTTACTGTATGCTTATGTCATTGAACCTTTGGTGAGTGCTATTTGGTTTGACCTTCCATGTCTTTGACCGATAATGTTATGTTATCTCCAAATGTTGGGTAACTGAGGTTTTCCCTTGCAGGAGTTTAAGTGGTATGGTATTCATGATTTATATATCTATAGAAAGTACAGTGTTGCTGTGGCAATCCTAAAGTTTCACACAGAAGTTATAATGTAAAAGTCGAGTGAAATAAATTGCTAAAATTAAAGTGACCTTAAACCCTCAGATTTTTTTAACATAAAACAATACTGTAATGTGTGCCTTACTGTAATCCATGGTTGTTTCCCTTCTCTTTGCTGCTCGTCCTTTTAAATCCTCATGTCTTCTCATGCTGGGGGAGAACTTCCCTTTGCAGCTGGCTGCCACTTCCTGTAATACTGGCTCCGGTTGCAAACCTACACACAGACACCATGTTTCCATTGCAGAGACAAGGCAGTCTGCTGCAAAACAGAAGTTCTGCCCAGCATGAGAACAGATACAGATTTAAAAGGAAGAGCAGCAAAGAGAAGGGAAACTACCATGGATTACAGTAAGGCACACATTACACTATTGTTTTATGTTAAAAAATCTGAGGGTTTAATGTCACTTTAAGCTTTCTTCTGAAAAGCAATGAATAACTGCAAGTTTGGGGTATAAGGATTAGTATAAGTTACTGGTAAAACAGATAAGTATAAGTATAAGTTACTGGTAAAACTGTTGGCGGAAGGTGCCAGAAAAAAAATCTTTAATCTGGCACCTTCCGCCAACAGGGTTCAGAGTTTTCAGCATCTTTAGTTGTAATATGATGAACACGAGAAACTGCTCAGAACGTCTTTATAAAAACAAAACTGTTGTAATCTGCTTGCAGGGATAAAAACGAAATTCAAAATGCCAGTATAAACCTTTGTAACAGTTAGGACATCACCTGTAAATATTTTGAGGGTGCAATGGATGTCGCAAGAACGGTCAGCATATTGATAAGCTTCACCCAGATAAAAAGATTACTTTATTTTGGCCTTCGATCCTTTTGTCGCCTGCTACAGATGATCTGTAGAATGAAAGGAGAATTTTATTATATAAATAATTTTGCGTTTAAACAGGAAGTATAGGATATACTGAAAAGATTGTGAATTTTTTCCCCCCCAAACATTCATTTTTTTTAACATACAGGTGAAACTCGAATAATTAGAATATCGTGCAAAGTTCATTTATTTCACTAATGCAACTTAAAAGGTGAAACTAATATATGAGATAGACTCATTACATGCAAAGCGAGATAGTTCAAGCCGTGATTTGTCATAATTGTGATGATTATGGCTTACAGCTCATGTAAACCCCAAGAACCCCAAATCCACAACCTCAAAAAAACAGAATATTACATGCAATCAATAAAACAAGGATTGTACATAGAACAATATCGGACCTCTGAAAAGTGCAAGCATGCATATGTACTCAGTACTTGGTTTGGGCCCCTTTTGCAGCACTTACTTTTGCACGATATTCTAATCGAGTTTCACCTGTATACTATGCATTTCTCACCCACCCCAAATGCGCTGCTTGATCTACAGAGCAAAAAGTGAACCGTGGACGGGTACTGCTATATGATCACTATTTAGGTTAATTGTTTATGCCTGTTATTTTATTAATTAAAAAAATATATGAATCCTTTAAAAAAAAAAAAAAACTACCAGAAATTCAACAGGACACTGTTGTTAAATTTCAGAAGTTGTGGGAGCTCTCGGTTAAATCATATCTCCCACCTTCCTTTCACATGGATTCCTTGACAATTTAAAGTCCCTCTCATTGGTTTTTACTATATACACCTTCAATCTTGTAGTTTTGCTGTTTTTACTGTTTTTACATTGTGTTTACTTTTTGCACTTGTTTCATTATCAATAAACAAAATTTGAGCGGAAAAAAAAAATATGAATCCTTTTTTTTTTTTTCTGTGATTTTTCACAAATATATCTATAAGCTGCAGGAATGAGACCATTTTAGAATGAAGATACCTACAGAAAATACAACTTGGAGAGTAATCTTGGTGTATTAGGGAAACATCCTCATGTAGCTCAGTATGTCTATGGTTGGCCCACTGCGTTGGAGGGTTTTGGTTGGAATACCTTGCAAAAAGGTCATTTCAAATTGATGTGAAATGCTGCTGAAAGACTCTTGGTAGCACTGTGCCACACAAAATGTTTTCATTCCTGTTCACATGGCACGCATGTCAGGAACCAGCATCTCTGAAGCAAATGCATCCCATTAGAGTCATTCCTGATCTTTACTGTACATGTGCTTGTTTATGGTTTTTATTTGGTACGTCAGTTTACATCAGTGGTAAAGGTACAGGCCGACTCTGCCGCATTGAGGGGCCATGTATTGTAAAATCTTGGATGAGAACCTCCGTACCTCAGCCAGAACACTGAAGATGGGTCGTGGATGGGTCTTTCAGCATGACAATTACCCAAAACATACTGCCAAGGCAACAAAGCAGTGGCTCAAGAAGAAGCACATTTAAAGCACCTTGTTGTGTACATTGTCAGCTTTTAGCTGTTAAGGTGGATTATAGACTCGCATACAGTGGGGGCATAATGCAGGGGAATCTAGAGATTTCACGGGGAAGGTTGGCAAGTCAGCTTTCTATCCATTTACAGATTCAGTTTTGTAAACCTTATAGATCAGTGGTTTTTAACCCCTAACTCAGATAAAATATATTATAGGAGATCATTTACCACATATTTAAAGAGATCAGTCATCCAAACTTTGATCTATGACTTATCAAAAATGAGAGCCTATATTGCATATATTCCAAACTACAGAATATAAATAAAAAAATACAATTGGCACTGAATCTAAGGAGGTTTGTGTCTTTCAAGAGAGCTTTTGTAACAATTAGAAACTTTGCTTTAAACATTTTCAGATGGTTTATGTTTATTTCTATCTTCACCTTTAAATCCAAAATTCCGAATTTACCTATTGTTTCAATACACCAGATTGTAGTGACATATCTCTTTTTCAGGTTGTCGATACATCAGTCAAGCTGCAGCCAAAAAGAATGTTGACTTTGAATATGATGGTCCATTAATGAAGACAGAAGTCCCAGGACCACGATCGAGAGTAAGTGAATAATTATCAAAATCAATATTGTCAGGAACCTTCCATGGGCATATCCACTGTAAGGCAAACAAGGCGTTTGCCTTTGCTGGTGCTCTCCAGGGGGGCGTCGCCCCCAAAACTGAGGTGAGCCGGGCTGCACAGAAAAAGACAGCCGAGGCTGCCTAAGCAGGCAAAGGTCCCATGAGCGGCCGCCTAATCAGAGAACTGCCCGCTGGAAGAGGAGGCGGGGCTGGGGTCCAATGAGATGTGGTGCGGAGGTGTAGGAGAAGCAGTGAGTGGCTTGGGGCTGGAGGCGAATGTCCAGGAGGCAGGCTGAGGAGCAGCAGGTAAGGGGTATAGCACCTGTGCAGGGAAAGGAACCCACCAGAGATCCTACACAGCCCACATGCGACCCCCGCACAGCCCACCTGAGACCCCCCGCACAGCCCACAGAGAGGCTGCCAGAAGTTTGAATAGGTGGGAGTACCACATCCACCTGCGCCCGTTCAGACCTTGAGGATCACGAGAATGCCCTTCATCTCGATTCTGCGGCGTAGTCAGGTAAGGAGATTCAGGGGAGGAGTACATCAGTTATGGTGTGGATAGCTTAACAACTAGGAGCCCTAATGTTCAGTGGGTCGCCACTTGCCTTCCACTTTTCTAGGTGAGAGACTCCTCAGCCTCCCCCTAGAGCAGCACCATCACTTCTCGAGCCGAGCACCTATTCAGAATATGCTGCCCGGCCATGCATGTCAGCATGAGGTGGGCTGGAAGTATGGCCAAAAGGGAGCTCCATCCATACATGCATTGCTTACAGCACCCACATGTGCCCTATACAGGGTGCGCAAGGGAGCTGTACAAACAATGCACATATGGATGGGGCTCTGTCACAGCACTGCAGCCCACACTGGACCCCAACCTGAGGATCCACTCCAGTTCTCATAAGGTAGGGAGACTGGGTGGATCCTAACCTCTTGCCGTCCGCCCGTTGTGAAAAAACGGACGGACAGCAAACTCGCATGGGCGGGTTGCCGTAATTAGACGGCTTTTCTCTCTTCTGCTCGCACGCACGGGCAGAAAAAACCCGTCCGTTCTGCAGAGCCATTACCGGCTGTTTGACATTCAAACGATCGGCCGCTCTGTAGCCAGCCGATCGCTTGTATGTTGTGACTGCTCGCCCCCCCTCCTCGAGTGCCGCCGCTGCCCCCCCTCCTGCACCTTCACCTTCAATGCCGGGATCCGCTACCCCATCTGCTGCCTGGGACCGGCTCAGGAGGGTGTCAGGAGGAAGATGGGACGGAGATCAGCATCTTGTTGAACTTCCTCCGTACTGTGAATGCGGAAGTAATGTGTATTACATCACTTCCGCATTCACCTGTTAGTCATCTGGCTGCTATTGCCAGAGAGAAGAAGCTGATGAAGCAGATATCTGCTTCATCAGCTTCTTTGGGGGTCCCCAGGGGACATTGGGGGTCCTAGAGACCCCTAATGTCTCCATAAAGAGGACCGGTCAGTGTGCCTGTGCTATCACATAGGGGGATTTTTATCCCCCTATGTGATAGCAATAACAAAGTGTAAAAAAAGAATCAAAGTCATATAAAAAAAGTTTTTAAAAAACCCACAAATGTTTTAAGTCCCCCACGTTTACGCACATATAAACATAAATATGCATCAGATGCGCCAGCGAGCGAAAACGACAATTGCGCTACACATGTTACATATTGCCGCAAACGTCGCAGTGAGAGCAATCATTCTTGGGCCATCAATCACTGATAACACTAAACTGATGAGCGGTAAATACCACCAAAAGAAAGCTCTATGTGTCCCCAAAAAATGGTATAACATTTCAGTACAGCGTTGCATGACGGAATAAATGTCAGTCAAAATACTGCAGTACTGAATACTGAAAAATGGCTTGGACAGGAAGGGGTTTTTTGGAGTGTGTGTGTGTGTGTGTATGTCTATGAGTGTGTGAGATTATGTCTATGGTTGTGTGTGTCAGTCAGCGTTTTTGAGGGTCCGTTCACACTAGTACAGTGCGTTAATCGCACAGTCCTATGCTATTAATGCACTGTACCACGCAATCGCACCTACTGCGCATTCTGGTGCGAAAGGTGTTTTGCGTTGCCATTAATTTACATGACACCCCAAACGCACCTCCCGCCCACTGTCCGATAGCCTGAACCCGAACGCCCGGTACTACAATGTCATGCATTCCATTGGGTCGCTACTAAATGGCCAAGGACAAATGTGGGTCCTTGACCATTTAGTAACGAAGGTTACACAGGTTGAGAACCACGAGTCTAAAGAATCTATATTGTTTTTTTGCTTTATAATGTAAAAAAACAAGTTATATATGTTGTGTATATACTGTAAAAAGCATGACAGCTTATCAGTAGCCGACCTTACCATCAATAAGTTCAAGCAGAAAATAACAATCGTAGTGTAAGTGTATCCATTGATTTGTCTCCTCTTAGAATAAGAGCAGAATTTAGAGGTCATAGCTTCTCAACTGTCTCTTGTTTAAAGCAGAATCCAGTAGTAATGAGATTTGTAATGCAATTTCTCAACACTCAACCTTCAGTGATGGATGGAAAGACCCAGAATTGCTCAGATATGGTGTTATTTATCAAATTCTCTGAAACCAGAATTGTTTTCAATTGCATTGTAAAATTACTAATGTTCCTTAGTTCAGATATTTTCATAAATGTCTACTTTTCATAGTCCCTGATTAGGTTGTTTTTTTTTTTTTCTAATATGTGTATTGTGTGTATTTAATTGTGGTGCTTTCTATCCTAAAATATTTTATAATATGGATTTTTTTTATTTTTTAGGAATTAATCAAACAGCTTAATACCATACAGGTAAGAATACGCCTAAATATACAAATAGAACATATTATTATAAAACATATATTTCAACCTGCTTTCCTATCGAAGTCCGTCCAGTATTATACAGCACTTGTCACAGCAGTGGAAATGCATTTATTTATGCGTATATCTATCAAAATGTATGCAGATAATTTAATGTTCACTTCTTTATGATACGTTTTTATTTCTGAATGATAATTCCTCAAGGGCAAGGTGTGTTATATATCATGGCTTCTCAATGAATGTTGCCTTTAAATTGCACTTCTCTTTAGTTCTAGTGAGTTATCAATGTTTAAAGTTTTTCTTTTATTCTTGAATCTCAGAATGCAGATGCTGTGAATTTTTTCTGCAATTATGAAGAGAGCCGTGGAAATTATCTTGTTGATGTTGATGGCAATCGAATGCTGGATTTGTATTCCCAAATAGCATCTATCCCCATAGGTATATAACTTGATATGCATTTTTTATATATTTATATATGTATTACTGTATTTTGATGTATGGTTAAAATTCAACCACAACAAACTTTCTGAACCCTCATCCCAGTTGATCCCTGCAAACTGTATGGTCAACAGAACTACAAGCAAACAAAGGTATACTGAACCCAGAGGAATGTGAACGGGCAGTGTAGGTAAACATTAGGGCATGCACATCCATACGGTGTGAACGCACATGCAGAGACCCTCTCCCGGGAGGGACAGGTACAGCCTGTAATTGTGTGGGGCAGGTTTTCTATTGTCAGAATAGAAGGGAAAAATGTATGTGCTGCACTCCTATTCCACATTTATTAACAAGTTTACATACACATTTTTGAATTTTAAAGAATCCTTTCTCAAGTTAAGCACATTGTAATGCGTTGGTCCTTTTCAAAATGGACTTAAGATGTGACAGAACTAGGAGAAGAACTCTGGGCAAAACTTTGATTAACCCTTGCAGTGGGGCTACCCCCACACTGCAAGGATTAACTACTTGTATTTGTCTAGATGCTTAAAAAATAAAACAGAAACTCTGCAGCACTGGAATGTTCCTCAGCGTCTTCCCGCCTATACACAGTGTATAGAACATGATTATTTATGGGACCTTAGGCCACAGCCATGGAGGAGGAGAGAGGCTGAAGGACTGGTCTAAAAGCAAGACGGCTCCGTGGTTCAGGTGAGCGTTATTTGGTTTTTATTAGCACCTAGACAATAAGCCGTTAACCCTTGCAGTACGGGGGTAGCCCCACTGCAAGGGTTGCTAAAAGTTTTGCGTGGCGTTCTTCTTTAAGGTTTTATAGTACAGTAAGTTCATACATGCTAAGAACAAGTGTAAGCATGTCTCTAGCCACATTTTCTCTCTGGTGCCATCTTTTTTAAGGCACTTCCTGAGGGCCGCATATTCCACCTGGGTAGAGATGATAGCCCATTGGTGACACAGAGATGTAAATCCTGGTACCAGTGCAGTTGCTGGCTGAGCTCATAAATGTGTGACATATTTGCCGTTAAAGCACCTCACTTTATGATCTAGTACAAGACAACAATGCTGTAGTCAGATCACTGGGGGAGAGGAAACTGAGATGTCATCTTAGCCTAGGCAAAGTCACTTGAGATCAAAGACTGACTGATTTTTAATGGTCAAATGTAAACCCTATTTGATAAATTATTATTTTTCTGTATATTGGAACACGTCAGGAGTCTATGCAGACTTGTGAAGTTACTGAAAGGTCCAGGTAACAAGCTAGATAAATAGCTACTGTTCTTTCAAACCATTGTCACTGAGGGGAAATATATTCAATGTAGTCCCAGTGGAAACCCAATAAGGGCTCTAAACCATACTAACTGTATACAAAACAAAGAAAACAAAATGGGGGCTTGACATACACTTGGAATTTGAGTGAACAGCAGAAACAGAATAAGTACATCTGTCGTTTACTATTTAAATTTTAATACTTTGACAATTTTCTAAACTTGAATAGGGATGTGCTTGGTCATGGTCTGGTGCTTCAGCTTGCTGTTAGCACAGGATATTTTACCCTAACCCCTTGTAACATTAAACAAAGGAAAACACAGGCATATGTATGACTGTGTCTATAGCCTGACTGCATTTCAATAATAAATACAAAGGCTACAATTGGGTTTTAAAGTATCAAAATAACGCAACAAATTTTCATTTTCTTTCATAGTCGCGGGGATTACATGCCAGATTTCAGGTTGGGTGAATGTCATGAAATGGAGGAAAATAGTGAAAAGCTAATTAACTTTGTTTCAATATACTGTAATTTTTGTTATAACAGATCTTTTTGTGACAGGTTCACTTTAGCAATAATGCTTATGTATTCCTTTCTTTGTAACAAATAGCATTCGATGCAGAATGATGCAGTCGGCTAGGTTTCCGTTCTATTTCTACAGGCTTGCCCTTATCAGCCTCTCGCTACAGTGATTTATGAGTCATATATACTTACAGGGTATTTGTGTCTTCTCCAATATCCTGACATTACCTTTTCTGTCCTCTGAACTGTATACCTGCTTAAGACTTGCATTTCATACACTTCTCATGTATTATATGTTCTAGGTTATAATCATCCAGCCCTAATAAAAATTCTGCAACAGCCACAGAATTTGGTAAGTGGAACTGAATGTCATGTATGTTCTACCTGTGTAAAAGTAAAGCTCTTAAAGAACAGTTCCTGCACATATATAATTTCTTTACAAAATATATAGAAATGTGTACGATGTCCTTCTTTACATCAACATCATGGCAGTTTTTGCTTGTTTTAATTCTGTCGTCTAATTGCACAGAAAGTCGGGGAGGTCAAATTGCTTCCCCAGTTGAGCAGTCCACTGAAATCTAATAATGCATCCACCACTCTTCTGTGTGAGCAGCCAAGGTGAGTGTGCTGCTGCTGGTGACTGGGGATGCTGGCACCCACCTTGACTGTTCACAGAGGGAGGATGAATTACAAGACTGTGCAGATCTATGAACCATGTTAACCAACTCTTTTTGCCTCCTCCATGTCTGCATTGTTTAATCATTTACTCAGTTTAAACAATTACATACAAAGAGGTTTATTTATAAAATGTTCACAAAGCCATCCCCTCTGTGAACATCTGCCTTTTACATTTGCACTGCATTATGTCCACTAGATGGAGCCGAGGAGCTTAGGAATTGCACTAGAAAACAAAGCCAACTGCATTGGTTGTTTTGACCACATGGAGACTCTCCTTTTCTATATATTATTGTATTTTAGTGACTACTTCAGTATCAACTGTATTAGAAAATAAACATGAAACCTTTCTAGAGAAGTATACATTATGCACTCCATGGCCACTTATTTGGTATCCAAAAAGAACCCTCAGTGCCTATGTAATGCAATTTTTTGTGTGTGTTTTATACAATATACTGTATGAATAATATAATGTTTTAGGATGCAATATGTATTCATTACTCTCACAATCCTTCACTGATATCTAGTTTTTCAACACTTTATTAGGTAGAAATATTTTCTGCCTGGTAGGACCCATCATTTTGGTGTATGCGGACTCAATAGCATCATGTCACATATGCCAGTCATACAATCACGCTGCAAACCTAATTTCGCATCTCATCCTTTAGGATTCTTGCTTTGTACACCATCTGCATGTCATTGCAGAAATCAATATGTATCCCAGGCTTTTTTCAGTAATCCTTTATCCACTGTAGATGTATTTTCCTGTTCTTGGCTGGCAGGATTGGACCCAGCATGGTATTTTGCTGTTGTGGCCTATCCTCTTTAAGATTCCACATTCTGTGTATTCAGAGATGTTTGTATGTGTGATTTTTGTTTTTGGAACCAAGGAGCTGGAGTATTAGTTTTGTGTATGGGGCTTTCAACACCTAAAACTAACATGTTTCATTACATGTCTTTAAATCCAACACTCTTTCACTTAACAGAACCTTAAAACTTAACCTAAGCTCCAAATGAACACTTTAGTTGAACCCTAAAACTTTAAACACCTAACCTAACCCTTAGCACTAAATTAACCCCTTAAAACTGGCACTTTTTTGGGTTCTAAAACTAATGGTGCCAAATACACTAATTAGATGAGTCTGGCCATTCTTAGACACCCTATTAACAAGGTGTTTTCTCACAGAATTGCTACTTACTAGATTTTGTTTTGTTTTTATGTGTACACTGGTCTTTAAACTCCAGACACTGAAGTATGTGAAGATCCTAGATCAGTGGTGGCGAACAGCTGGCACGCGAGCCCAGGTTTGGGCCACCTCTAAGAAAAAGTCAGACTGTCCCGGATCGCCGCCTCGGTATGCGATCCGGGACGGTCAAGATCAGGCAGCAAGAGCCTGCTAACAGGCATATTAAACAGCCACTTCCTCCTTGCTAGGACCCAGTGAGGCCCCAGCAAGCGGCTGTCTAATTTGCCTGTTAGGAGGCTGCCGCTGCCTGAGCATGACCAGCCGAGGCGGCGATCTGGGACGTTCTGACTTATTTTATTTACAGAGCCACAGCTGCCCTCCCCTGAGAGCTGCACAGCTCCCCTAAGAGTCGCACAACTCCCCCTCTCCTAAGATCCCCACAGCCCCCCCTCTCCTAAGAGCCACACAGCCCCCTCCCCTCCCCCAGAGTCACAACACCTCCTAAGAGCCGCACAGCCCACCCTGAGTGCCACATGGGCCCCTCTAACAGCCGTACAGCCCCCGAGAGCCGCAGAGACCCCCTGAGGAATGCAAAGCCCCCTGACAGAGACACAGCTCATCTGAGAACTGCACAGTGCCCCTGAGAACCCACACAGCTCACCTGAGAGCCCACACAACCCTCCAGAGACCTAGGAGACATCTGGCTGCCACCCCAGAGCAACACAGTATGTAGCTTACATTATTCTGCATTTCTGTATAATGTATTGCTGGGATTTTCAGTCCTCCTCTAGCTGATGGTATTATTCTGCATTGCTGTATAAGGTATTGCTGGGATTTGTAGTCCACTGTAGTCGGTGCCATTCTGTATTGCTGTATATTGTATTGCTGGGATATATAGTCCTCTATAGTTGGCGGTATTCTGCATTGCTGTATAATGTATTGCTGTGATATGTAGTCCTCTATAGTTGGCAGTATTCTGCATTGTTATATAATGTATTGCTGAGATTAGTTCCTTTACAGGTTGAAGTCAGTAGCAGAGCTAACAAGGTCACAACGGTCACAGTTGTACTGGGCCCCGGTGCTCCACCACTGACCCCAAGCTGTAAAGAGACTGTTCCCTTGCAGTGTGCTGCATGACATGTACCTTAGTAGCACACTGCAATGGAACACTTCACTCATTAGCACAGTACAAAGGTACATGTCACTCTATAGTGTAGTTAAAACCTCTTGTATTGTATTTTTCATCTAAGATTTAAGCACATAATTCGTTCAGACGGTCGTATGAAGTGTTTTTCTAAAATAATTCATCAGTATTCGGGTCTAAGTGTGGGGTTGGCACTTTGAGACACATAAGTTGGTTTAGTGATCCAGTTTGGGCACTTGGGCTCAAAAAGGTTTGCCACCACTGTCCTAGATCATCAGTTTCTGAGTCATAGAGCATCTGCATCTATTGATAATATCTGCATTGTTTTGTGTTTCACTTTTGATTCACTTTTTGGTTATCTGTATTAAAGAGCAGGTGTCCCTAATATAATGGCCACTGTAGATGACAACACCAATGACAAGTTAGTGAGAACACATGACTATTAAAGGGTATGATCAGCCAAATCTTTATTCTTAGCTTTTATATTTTAGAGATAAGGAATAAAGGTAAATAAAACTGCTGCCTATAGCAACCAGTTAGACTTTGCTTTATAAAATGTAAAATCTGTGCTATGACAATGAATACGAATGGCTGCTGTTTGCTCTTTTATTAGTAAATCAACCCCTTTTGTACTGCACCATTTCTACTGGTGACCATTGTCATGGAGAAAGAAAGGGAGGGGAATTTCAAAAAACTGCCCCCAGAACAAGCGGTAAGGGGAGGTCTTCCACTGGGGCACCTGTTCTGGAGATAATTTTCCAAGAGGGGAATTCCCTATAACCTCCTGTTGCATCTCTGGGACAGAAAGTGAAGGGAATATCACCAATGGTACAGAGGTTCCCCCTTTGCGAAATGTATCAGATTTAAATGCATCCCATGCTATGGAATTAATAGTCGGAGAGTTAGCGGCAGAACTCTTTCTAAAGTGGGAGATTTGTGATAGTCTATATTGGTCCAGGGGTGTGTGAAGGAAATTAATAGAGGGCAGTTGGAGAAGCCCCCTTTTTTTCCAAGAAGATATGTTCAGGTGGGGAATAAGGAACTCATAGGTTCCTAATGGGATCGTTATCCGTCTGAGGAAATAGATTGTCTATCAGACACGCCTGCCGTGATGACATTAGGGACGGTAGTCAGGAGGATGGAGTTTCCTCTTCAGAGAACTTGCTATTACCCAGGCTGGAAGATCTCCCTTGTGGACAAGTTGCTGTTCCATGATTGACCATATTTTGTCCGGGGATGGGTGGAACCAAACATGGAGTTGGTCCAGCAGGTATGCAAAATAGTAATTCTTCAAATTAGGGAGACCAATTCACTCTACATTTCTTACCCTGCCATACATAAGCATCAATAATCCATTGAAGCGTTATAAAAAAGGAAGAAGGGAGTATTATAGGAATAGTCCAAAAATGATACAGGATTTTGAGTACAACCATTTTGAGGGCTGAAATCCTGCCCATCCAGGACATTTCGAATTTAGCAATATGGGATAGTTCAGATTTAACCTTCTTTAGAAGGGGCAGGAAATTATTTTTGAAGGTGCTGCTAGATGGGGACGTAAGGTAAATGCCAAGATACGGGATCTGGGATGTAGCCCAGGTATATGGGTAAGTATTTTGCAGGGTATTCCGTTCAGAGGTTTTCATATTTACCGTCAAAACCAAAGATTTTACTATATTAACCTTATAATAAGACATTTCGAACATACGGAGATCGTTTTGTACTGCGATCAAGGAAGAAGCCGGCTTAGAAATCGTCAAAATAACATTGTGTGCGAATAGGCCAATTTTGTGGGTTTGGTCACCTATCTTGATCCCTGAAATAGCGGGTTCTCTCTAATAGTTGACACTAAATGTTCTATTATGAGAGAAAAAACTATTGGTGAGAGTGGGCAACCTTGTCTTGTTCCATTTGTTATAGTGAACGGGGTGGGCAATAAGTTGGAAGAGTATACTTGGGCTGTTGGAGTGGAATATAAAGCTAGTATTGCGGAGAGAATATGGCCCTTCATGCCAAATTGCTGAAGGGTTGAAGACATGTAACCCCAATGGATGCGGTCAAATGCCTTCTCAGCGTCTACAGCGAGAAGCAAGAAAGGCATTTTCTGTAATTCAGCAGATCTAATGATATTAAACATTCTTCTAGTGCCACCAGGGGCTTGGGGACCTTTAACAAAGCCCACTTGGTCTGGATGGATCAAGAAGGGAGTAATAGGTAACAGTCTCTCAGCAATGAGTTTGGCGTACAGCTTAATATCTGTATTTATGAGGGAGATAGGTCTATAATTTTGTGTGAAAGCCGGCTCCTTATCTGGTTTAGACATTGAAACAATAACAGAGCGCAGCATTTCCTGAGGGAAAATAGAAGAGGACGCAGCAGAGTTAAAAATGGATTGTAAGTAAGGGGTCAGTATGTCTTGGTAGGCTTTATAGTATTCACTAGAAAAACCATCAACGCCAGGGGATTTGTTCAGCGGAAGCATTTCTGGTGTTATTTTTGGAAGATTTAAGGACCGTAAAAATTTCTCAATGGAGCCCAAATTTTGTTGAGGGGTATCGGGATCATCTTTTAAGTTTTATAAAGTGAGGAATAGTAGGATTGGAAAGCATCAGCTATATCTTTGGGATTATATTGTTTCTGGCGTGTTGATGGGTGAACGATGCAAACTATTCTGGAGTTGGATTGCTGAATTTTGATTTTGTTAGCTATTAACCCTATCCCTGCCAGGGACGTACGGCATACGGAGGAACAAAAGTGTTCCCGGCTGGCCAGGTCCGTATGCCGTATGGGCCTGGCATTTACAGTTCTGCTATAAGCTCATGGTCGCTTTGGCCAACCATGCCAGGCCAAGCGGTGAATATACACTTCCTGTTCATTCATAAATTTATGAATGGGGAGTAGCACTCACTACAGAGGCTTCTCCCCATTCATAAACTGGTGATAATAAATATTTTTACTATCATCAGTTTCTGAATGAATGGGAAGCCTCTGTACTGAGTGCTTTCCATTCATTGAGTGCTGGGGCTGCAGAAAAATAAATTGAGGACTCTGTGTCCTCAATTTCTTTTTCTATTTCAAAAGGAAAATGTCAGGGGTCTGTTAAGACCTCAGATATTTCACCGTAGCCTCCCCAACAGTAAAAAATAAAATAAAAATAAAAATGTAAATAAAATAAAATTCTAAAAAAATAAATAAAAAATGTAGAAAAAAATAATGTGTAAAAAATTAATAAAACAAAACACAACCCCTCCCTCCCCCCACACATATAACATACACGTGCACCATATTGTGGTGCACGCGATGCACATGTGCTGCAGTGCGTGATTTTTTTTTTCTTTAAAAAAACACATTAATTTAACTGCGGCAGCGCATGGCAAAGCTTTGTGATGCATTGCCATGCGTTGTGATACCTTGTGTTGCAATTAAATATACGCCTGTATCATTTTATCACAACACAAACACAGCGTAAAAAACTATTTTTAACATAAGTTGCTTATTTACAGTTTTGCATTCCTTCATTTTTTTTACCTTTTCGCAAAAAGGCGCAATTACAAATTTGCAAATATTTGTTATTTATTAACACAATACAGTTTTTTATCTTTTAGATTTAGTCAGAAAATATTTTTTGTGTGCGCTGATACTGATTGCTTTATCAATTGAATTGTGTAATTTTTATCGGTTCAATAATAATTTGAGAAACATTTGCGCAATTATCGCAGGGCCTACAAGTTTAGTATCGCCATCTTTTTATTCTACCGGGCCTGCGCTTTCAGAAAATATATGGTTTGGGGGGTCTTCTGCAACTAAAAACTCTACATACATACAGGCGGTGATTTAGGTTATTTTTGCTATATTTTAAACCTAGAATGGTAAATATAAGTGATGAGGACAACACATGATCACTGTCAGTTAACATTTAAAATGGTATTATTCTTTCAGAGTGCATTTGTCAACAGACCAGCTCTAGGCATTTTACCCCCTGAGAATTTCACTGAGAAACTGGAGGAATCCTTGTTGACTGTAAGTACAAAGGCTCATCCGTCATCTAATATGTCCTCATGAAGGAAACAGAACTGCATGTTTGTTACTTTGTTGCACCATTTGTAGATTTAATTTCAATGTTTCATTTTTCTATGAAAATATGACATGCAAAGAACATTCTCTTTTCCCTGTTTTTTTTTTCTCTTCTAGATTGGACCAAAGGGTTTGGCACAAATTATTACAATGTCTTGTGGATCGTGCTCAAATGAAAATGCTTTCAAATTAATATTTATGTGGTACAGAGTAAGTGCAAATTCCTAAATGGTATGAGGCATTAGATTGCTGTTTAACTACTGCTGGAACTGGGGGTGGAGGATGTTTCTGACAATGGTCCTTAGTAGAGTTGCCAGTGTCTGCATATTGTGCTTGTAGAGGTTTCTGGGGAATACTCTCTCTGTAATCAGGAGCTAATACCTATCTAAGCGCAACGTGATATTTATATGAAGAGAACGATTTTAAGCACTCCTTACCAGACAACCCCGAATATGGGGAAGGGTGCTTGGAATGACCGCGGATGGCAACGCCAATTGCAGACAATATAGAGATGTCACCAGCACACCAGGCTCCTTCAAGGATAGTCAATCGTGAATTTATTCAAAACTTATGTCAAATACACAAGCGCTTTCGGGACCACACAGTATCCCTTCATCAGGCATAGCAGTGACCCTCTCATTCATATTGTTTTCTATGATTAGTTTTGTCATTTATATTAAGTTTTGCTAAAGTTACTAGACCAATTATTCTTTATAAAAAAAAAAAATATGAATGACAGAAATATTCTGGTATGCTGGATGGTTTCCTTGACCAACGATACAAAACAAAAACGGAACTCTAGGCATATACTATACAAATGAATGCAGCTCTGTGTTCATAAAAGCTGAATTTTGCCTCTGCTCTGCAAGGGTTAACTGCTCATTAAGTCTAGTCATAAAGGAATAAGCTGTAATACCTTATTCCTTGCTTTGCCACTTCCTCTTCTCACAGATGCTCCAGGTTGTCGGCAGGCCCTCACCATCTTTACATACAATGCAAGACTAATGGTGCTGCATTGTACGTGATGCTGTGTGACTGCCAGCCAAAGTGCTTTAGAGAAGAGGCTTTGGCGGACGACTGGTTGCACAGTGTAGTGGATGCCTGCTAAAGCCACTAATAAAGTAAATATAACAGATTATTCTTCTACTCATAGATCTAAACCCTATCTCTGGGGGAAAAAAACTATCCTTGCACTGGGGCTAGCCCTGCACTGCAAGGTTCAACTGCTCGTTTATTACATTGTGCCCTCCCCCCCCCATGTAAACATGGAACACTATAAAAGAAAAAAAAAAGCCAAATAAAAGTATGTACATCTTGCTTCTGCCCACAGAGCCACGGCAAGGTTTACATCATGATCCTTCAGCAAAGTCCTGGAAAGAGGACAGAGGATCACAAATCTCATGAGAAAATGCTTCTGCTCTGGAGTTTTTTTGCATGGGATTTGGGGGTACTCTACTTTCCCAGGATCTGGCAGTAAGGATTGTGACATCACACTTTTCAGTGCAGACCCTGGATATAAGGTAAGTAGTGTCTAACTTTTTTCTGGAATTATTTTTTCCTTTCTTACAGGTTAAATGTGCTTTGTTTACATGGTAGGAGGGGCCACTATGTAATAAGTAGACCTTGCATTGCAGGGTTGCCATCCTTATCTATACTTTATTACTTGGCGAGTCACTGACCTGGTAAAAGCATGTACATATTGGCTATCTGGCACCTAACATAAAGACTACATAACATTCGGGGAGACTCACTAAGCATGAAGCAAGGATAACAATAACAGTCCTAGAGCATGTACCTTCATGAATAGTTAAAACACCTCTTCCATTCTTAACAAGTTTCCATTGGGAAAGAAAGAAAGTGCATGCTGTGGTTTATTGGTAATTTCATATCGCTTTTCATTATGAATTTTGACTGCATTTCAGAACAAAGAACGAGGCCACAACAGTGCCACAAAAGAAGAGCTGGAATCCTGCATGATTAACCAGGTAGATTATTTCAAACATGTGTTATAACATTGACTATCTTTTCATATACACAGTTAATTAGAATCTCATAACTTGAACAATATCCAGTGTGCCTTCTGAGCTAAATGTTCCAACCAGTGCTGAGAGAAATACAGAGGCTTCCATTGCTAACCTCTTTCTGAAAATGCTAGTTACATAGTTACATAGTTGCATAGTATTTGAGGTTGAATAAAGACATTAGTCCATCAAGTCCAACCTATTAGGATCTCATTCTAGGAGTACCTGTACCCCTGTATATTACGGTCCCTTAAGAAATCGTCCAAAAGTTTCTTGAACAATTCCACATTCTTTGCTGAAATCACTGTCTGTGGCAGTGAGTTCCAGACCCTAACTGATCTTACTGTGAAGAACCCCCTTCGCCCCTTGTGCTGGAATTTTTTTTCCACCAATTTTAGGTGGTGGCCTCTAGTTTTTGTAATGGAGTTAATTTTAAACAGTTTATCGCTAATGTTGCTGCCACCATTGAACATTTTGTACATGGAGATCATATCCCCCCTCAATCTCCTCACCTCCAATGTGAACATGTTTAAATTTAGTAGCCTTGTCTCGTAGCTCTGGTCCTCCATACCCCTAATTAGTTTGGTTGCCCTCCGCTGGACTTTTTCCAACTCAAGGACATCTTTTCTTAGTACTGGTGACCAGAACTGGACCGCGTACTCCAGATGAGGTCGAACCAATGATCTATAAAGTGGCAAAATTATAGACTTGTCCCTGCAATACATCCCCTTTTTAATACAGGACAAGACCCTGCTAGCTTTGTTTACAGCAGCCTGGCACTGCAAACTACCTTTCAGTTTGTGGTCTACAATGACCCCCAAATCCTTCTCCATTTCTGACTTCCCCAGCGGCATACCCATAATTGTATAACCCATTTGTTTATTTTTAATTCCAAAGTGCATTACTTTGCATTTATCGACATTAAACCTCATCTGCCACATTAATGCCCACTCCCCTATTTTATCCAGGTCCTCCTGTAATGTTATAATGTCTAAGTCCGTGTCTATTACCCTCCCAATTTTGGTGTCATCCGCAAACACGGAAATATCGCTGTTAACACCCTCCCCGATGTCATTAATAAATAAGTTGAACAATATGGGACCCAGCACAGAACCCTGAGGCACACCGCTCATTACACTAGCCCAGTCTGAAAAGGTGCCATTTACAGATACCCTCTGGACCCGTTCCCGTAGCCAGTTCTCTATCCACGTACACACCACCTCATCTATGCCCATAGCCCTCAGCTTGTGTAGCAAGCGTTTGTGTGGTACCGTATCAAAAGCCTTTGAGAAATCCAGATATACCACATCTAACGGCCTCCCTCCATCCATATCTCTACTCACCCCCTCATAAAAAGTTAGCAAGTTAGTTAGGCAGGAACGGTCTTTCCTGAACCCATGCTGATTGTCATTAACTATCCCGTTTTCCTGAACAAATTCTACCAGATAATCCTTTATTATACCCTCTAGCATTTTACAAACTACCGATGTTAGACTGACCGGCCTATAGTTCCCAGGTTGGCACCTAGCCCCCTTTTTGAATATTGGGACTACCGTAGCCCTCCGCCAATCACCGGGGATCCTACCAGTCATTAAGGAGTCCTTAAAAATTAGGATTAATGGTCTAGTTATAACCTGGCTTAATTCCTTAAGTACCTTGGGGTGCAGGTTATCCGGACCCACTAGCCTGTCTGTCTCTGGCTTCAGTATTAGGAAACAAGCAAGTTCAGCAACATACAATCTTGTGAAAAAAAGAGAGTACACCCTTTTTGAATTCTATGGTTTTAACTATCAGGACATAATGAAAATCATCTGATCCTTAGCAGGCCTTAAAATGAGGTAAATGCAACCTCAGATGAACCACAACACTTGACGTATTACACCGTGTCATTATTTATTTAAGAAAAAACATAAAGCCAAAATGGAGACATTATTTGTGAAAAACTAAGTACACCGTTAGGTTCTTCCTATGGAAGCAGTAAGTAGCAGCCAGGTGCTGCTAATCAAATGCCCTTGATTAATTGTTCATCAGCAAATGTGACCACCTCTATACAAGTCGAAGTTTTAGCAGTTTGCTGGTCTGGATCATTCAGGTGTGGTGTTAACACATTGCCAAGGAGGCAAGACATCAGCAATCTTAGAGAAGCAAATGTTGCTGATCATCAATCTGGGAAAGGGGTTATAAAGCCATTTCCAAATTTAAAATTCAGTCATTTTACAGTGAGGAAGATTGTTCACAGGTGAAAATCATTCAAGACAGTTGTCAATCTGCCTGGGAGGGGACACAACAAGTATGGTTTGTTTGGAAGAGTTGCCAGGAGAAAGCCTCTTATCTCTAAAAAGAACATGGCAGCATGGATTAGGTTTGCACATACCATAAGACTTCTGGAACAATGTCCTTTGGACAGACAACACTAAAGTGGCAAAGTAAAGATGTTTGGCCATAATGCACAGCGCCACATTTGGCGAAAACCAAACACAGCCAATCAACACAAACACACCATACCAACTGTCGAGCACGGTGCTGGAGGGGTGATGATTTGGGCTTGTTTTGCAGCCACAGGACCTGGGCACCTTGCAGCCATTGAGTCGACCATAAACTCCTGTATAACAAAGTATTCTAGAGTCAAATGTGAGGCCATCTGTCCGAAAGCTAAAGCTTGGCCGAAATTGAGTCATGCAACAGGACAATGATCCCAAGCATGCCAGCAAATCTACAACAGAATGGCTGAAAAAGAAAGAATCAAGGTGTTGCAACTGCCCAGTCAAAGTCCAGACCTCAACCTGATTCAAATATTGTGGCAGGACCTTAAGAGAGCTGGCCAGCAACAATGATGTGAGAGACTGATAAAGTCATACAGAAATTGATTACTGAAGTTATTGCTGCTAAAGGTGGTTCTACGAGCTATTGAATAGGTGTACTTAGTTTTTTACACATGGCCTCTCCATTTTGGCTTTATGTTTGTAAAATAAATAACAACATGGTCATGTTGTTGTTTATCTGAGGTTGTATTTACCTAATTTTAAGAAGTGGCAAAGAACAGATGATTTTCATTATGCCCTGATACTTAAAACCATAAAATTCAAAGAGGGTGTACTTTTTTCACATGACTGTAAGTGAAGTTAGTATTTTTTTGTCAGTTTTCTACAGGTTTCCTTTAAAAAAATCTTGAAAACCTTTGGGCACTTCTGGATTGTCCAGACCTCCTGTTCCAAGGTCTGGTATTCCACCCTGCTTCTCGATCACAGGCTTTCATGGCATGGCTGTTGAAGCCCCGCTCTTGAAGGACAGAAACCTCTTGGAATCTGTCATCTCTACGCTTTTAAAAGCTAGAATGTTGACCTCTTGCAAGGTCTACCATTGCACATGGCTTATTTCACTTTGTGCGAAGTATTAACCCAGGAAGTACTCCATGGGATACATCCTATCTTTCCTATCTGACCTAGAGCAGCGTTTAGCCTTAAATATTACACAGGTCCAGATTTCTGCCTAGGTGATTCTTTTCCAGAGGCCACTTGCCTCTTATTCTCTAGTGTAAGTCCTTTGTACAGGGGACGATTATGTGGTGTTCCTCGTACGCACTCCAGTGACTCTGTGAGATCTCAGCTTATTTATGTCAGCACTTGATATCTCTCAAGTCTTCTAAAGTAAACAAAAACATTCTCTTTTACCTACCCTCAGT